CGGGTTAAGGTTCCTTGAAAACCATTTGTAAGAAGAATTTTTGTATCTCAAATAACATTAGGGAAAAATAGGGTTTGGTTCCCCAGTGACAAGAAAACCCCAATATTATACCTAAAAAAATGAAACATGTACGTAGGTTCACATATTACAAAAAAACCCACCTTATTACTGTAAATTAGTACCTAACTACTGAAATATAGTACAATAATTGACCACAAACAACCAAAAAAACCTCCTACATAACTACTGTACTGTAATATAAAAAAAATAAAATTAAATATAAATTTGGTACATTACCTTAAGGGACCATGTTCGTATGAGCAAGAATAGCTTTCGTATAATGAGAAAGAGGTGTACAAATTTCCAAATCTTGAACATTGGTAAAGCGAGGGATACCTGTCTGTATGTATGCATGTATATAGTAAAAAAAGGATACAATTAAGTCTTAATATACCGAGAGTACTGTACTCGACTACACAAGACATTATTTACCAAAATGCTTTATTTTTGGTGTTACTGGCTCTAATGGCATCATTAAGCACATAAACGAATCAGCCAGAACTTTTACTTTTGCAGAAATAATACACATAATACGAACAGTATAAAGAAGAGCAAGAAACTGACAGCCAACTTAGTGCTGAGTAGATGTATCACAAACACTAAGAAACAACCCCTGTACTGGAAATAAACTAAGGAGCGTCAGAAATTCCCTTTGCTGTTCACTTTAGAAATAGTCAAGTAGTTTTTTCTTGCATACCTGCAGAGAAAATATTTACATAAAAAAAAGGGCAAGTGCTCTTTAATAAACAAGTGTCCATCAACCTATCAATTAGACGAATGAATACAATACAGCACTACATAAAAGTGTCATATTATAAGAACTCTACTAAGAAATTTAGATTAAGTTTATATTATGTCAAGTGTACTGTACTTAACAAGCCATGACTGTATTAGGGGACTGCACCCACTCCTCCGAATTATGCATTTCATATAATAGAATATTATACACCCTGAAGTTGAGGCAGATAGGGGAAACAAAGGGATCAGCAGGACCGACCCATCAAACAAACATCAAATAAGGAATTCTGATAATGAATACAACCTCATTATGAAGATCAAGGGGACTAAATTGTCAAAATGCTGCTCAAGATCTCATTAATTTAGGAATATTCAAGAAGAACCCCTTAACCCTTCTTTAACCATGGCACAATACAAACATGCTGCTGGGTGTGAGCTACATGTTCCATTATTTTCGTTTTCTAATATTGTGGTTGGAAGTCCTACATATAATGCCCAGTTCCCACTCCGTAAAAGTGGGTAGGTAATAGGAAGGGCAGCCATCCATAAAACTTCCTTCAAATCTGCCCCATGACAACTGTGACATCATGCCATCAGAAAATCACTGTTGACCCATGCAGGTGTGAGAAATACCGATAAAACAGTGGTAATAAAACATTAATAATAAAAAACTAGTTGTAGGTGAATTTAGGGTCCACTTCCCCAGTGATTGGGGTCATTCCCCCAGGTATCATTGTGGTAATATTCACCACACAGCAGGATCCACAAAGATGAACGGAGTTGTGACAGCCACTTTTAAGACCATCTTCTGTTAATAGTTTACAGTCAATATAAGTACTGTACTGTATTGTAGTTTGTTTGTGACAATGCATGTCTCATATGAAGTTATTGTTTGGCCTGAGTAGTCAAGAAGCATGGAATGGGTTTATTTAAGTTTGAAGCTTCATTATCTTGACCCACTTCAGATCCTAATATTAATGCAGACTAATTCAAATAAAATTTGGTCTTTGTTAGGAAACTTATATAATGCAGCACATATATGCAAATTCTTAAGTACTATGGGTTCTACATTCTTTTACAGTAGCATATACAGTACTTCTCCAAGTCTTCATACAATTGTCCCTCATTAGGGAATTTAGAAATAACAAAAACTGTGGGTATGATCTTGAAATCCTATTTTCTGGCAGTCCATAGTCTGGCTGCTCTTGTAATACAAGATGCTCGACTGAGATCTTGGCCTTTTCACCATACCTCTCACCATATTAGCCAAGGTTGATATGTTAATCCATTTTAGGTTTAAGAGACCCTTCCCTACCCATCGTTCTCATTGGCAGAAACAAAGAGGAAATATTGTCCTATGGAGATTAGAGGTCTAAGAGTCGTGTCTGTCCAATCAACACACTGCACCAAAACTACAGTCTGTCATCTCTGATTTCCAGGTCAATCCACCATTTTGAAACCTAGCTCCAGCTGATGAAGCCAAGAAACTAAGGGAGGAGGGAAGGTGCCCAAGCAGCCTGGCTATAAGCTCTGCCAGAAAAGAATACTGAAGATTATATCTCAACATTTGGAATAAGCTCTTTAGCTGAGCAGCTCTCATTTACAATTTTTACACTCATTCTTACTACCTTTCCCTTTGTACAGGGAACTGCACACATTCTCTGCCATTCCTTTGGTACTCTTCCCTCTGTCATATATAACCTGTGCATTTCCATCTCATTCTTGCTTACAACCAGTCTCATATTCTGTTCTTGTTTTCCACTCCATTTGCTTGTATCCACACATCTTAACTACAATGTCTAAAACTGCACTCTGATATTGTTCCCATTCTTTAAAACCCCCTTTATTCCCCTCCCTCATTTACAAGTGCCTAAAGTGGACTCAATCACGTCATAATATTTTCACCTACATTGTCTTGTCCTCAGCTGGTCAACTTTTATCATCCTCTTCCCACTTATCTGAATCTCTTTCCTCTTTAACCTTCCAATCACTAATAATCTCCCTTCTGCCACGTAATGATCAGACACTGTGTGGGACCCCTAGCAGTACATCCATAATGACAAACTTACATTTCATTCTTTATTCCACTTACACATAGTCTTAACAACCCTCCATCTTTCCCATTATTCTACCTTCACTTTTATACTCATAAACTTCTTGCCTTTCAACTCTCTCATCACCTCCTAAAAATCTCATTCCTAGTTCTCTATATTTCCCCACAGTTCCCTCCAAGTTCTCATCACCAGCACTTTCAATCAGATTCTCCATTACGATCACAGTAACTTTTTGTACTCTAAGCTTTAAGTGCATTTATTCAAGTCTAATTAAAACTTCTCTCTTCCCTCATTGATCTTCTCATTCACTGGTATACAAGTATTTACTATAACCCTCCTTCCTCTCGTTAAGTTTTTTGAAGGTAGTGTTATCTCACCCCCTTATGGTAGAGAACAAAGACAAGTTGTACAAGCATAACCCAAGCCCATGAGAACAGAATTTATGCTTTTCACTTGTCACTTCGAGAATGATTAACTGACACATGAATGGTAAAACAAATTTATATCCTTATTTAAAAAACTATTGTGATCCATATGATAATAAACCTGCTTTTAACCAGGAACCTCTTCTTCAGGGTGCAATATAGTGACGGGGCTGAGATCTCCCTCATATAAAAAGTACATTGGTAACACCTTAACGACTACACTTTTTTTACCTAGGTAAATATGACATTAATTCTTGTGTAAAAAAGAGAAAGAAAAAAGTCTTACTAAGGCTAACTTTAAAATACGGTATTTGGTATAGACCATAAATTAACCTTGACTTTATGCATCCCTCAAACACACTCTGCAATATCAAAAGAACCAACTTGCTGTATATATTAATTTTACTTGTATGTAAAGTGGATCTTGATAATAGCTGAAAAAAAAATCTATGATACACTTGTTCCTACAACTATAGGGAACAAGAATGGGCTAACTGGTGATGCCATTCTGATTGCCAAAATGGCAGAACGAAGTTTCATACCTTGAAGAAGGTAAATACTGTGCATTATAAAATACTATGAATGATTATGCAAAAATACTGAATAAATACAGAAAATGCTATGCAATCTATGCCATTCATCTTTCATATATTTAAAATTCTTAAAAGTCTTCCTTTGGTTTCTTGTATTTAAGAAATGTTGGATGCCCAGTTGTCAATTTACACTATACACACACTCTTATATATTACCTTACCTCCTACCTATCCATCCAGCCATTCATTCTTAAAATTATGTTCACTCAGTCACACTCAAATATTTTCAAGAGTACTCACATCTGCAAGCATCCACACATGGAGCTCTATCCAATAAATGACAAATATGATGTTAAATAAGCCCTAAGTTTAAAGTCAAGAGATTCTTCCTAATGTTATAACTGATAGTTACTGAAGTCTACACACACACTGCATTTGGTAGGAATATCATAATTATATATATTAGAGCACAATACAGTACAAAACTTCCACATGCACCCAAGACTCCTGGCACAGAAAGAAACATTATAAATTGTGGCACTTAAGAATTTGGATGTTTTGTGTACACTACGTGGCAAGCCAAACAATCTTTTCATCCCCTCAGTTAAAAATTTTTTGAGACAATTTCTGACAATGATGCTTCACACATTACAGGTCGAAAGTGACGGGCCGTGAACGGTACCTAGGCTCGTCCCATTACAGTAGGCTACACACAATGCTCAGTAAAATTGATATCCCATATATTTGTGCCATTTCATCAGATATAGAGTAGATTTTCTGAAGGGGATTCTGTTACAATTCCAATATCATTAATAAATTTTCTCAAATTAAAAGGCCAAATTATACCTCAAGCCGAATCTCTCTTCTTCCACCGGCACATACTGGAACACAGCATACTTCAACTTTCTCAATGACCTTAACTATTTGATTCATTGTGGGATAAAATTTCTTAATGTCATTTATGCTAGTTCATGTTAATAAAAGAAAAGAAAGAAAAAAAAAAATCTTTCATACCATCAATAAAATCAATACTTTACATGAATTATCAACCTAGCTGGTGGCATCACTAGTGTACCCGTAAGCAGAATCAGACATCCTCCTACGCATGAAAATATCGATAAAAGAGAGCACCTCCTCCCAAACTAAGCACAACAAAGGCAACACACAGGGAAATTGGTCGCATTATTAACCTCTTTCTATCTTGCCAATGCTCATTGACTCGCTGCTTTTCCACCATGGCTTTGACTTTAGCTGCAGTCGCTGCTGTTCGTTCCCGTCGTTTTCGTCGTCGAACATCATTTTCACTGCACCTAAAACAATGAAAATTACAAGTTTTTCTGATACTGCAGAAAAATTAACATAAATGTTGATATTATTAAAAATTGGTAAAAAAAGTTTAGTACAGAAGAACACATAAAATGGGGGTAATGCAGCATTCACTGGTTCCACACCTGCAACATCTACCTAATAAAAGTTGATAAAAAACCCTCACCATTTCAACTATCTCTGCAAATGTTATGTGGTTAGTTTCTTCTGTCATATAAAGTAATAATAAAAAGATTTCTGAGATATATGCTACACTATGGTACTTTCTCCTTGACTTTAACTTCAAAATTTAGGATTACTGAATACATTTAAGAACATTTAGGTAAGAAAAGAAATCTCATGAAACTGTGGTTGGAAGATTGGTACACAAGCTGAGTTTCTATTGATGAAGCACATGTAGCACCAGTGTGAAAAGAAAGGAGACATAAGTGAGTGGTTAGAGACAACTATGCATGTGTACAGTATAATTTCACCACAAATCTTCAGTATACAGTAGTGCACAAGATATGAGTGAGAATAGCTGAGGGTATAACAATGATTTAAAATTTTAGTGGCACATGAAGGAGTGTGTTACTACTGTATGACGATGATATAGTAATACTGGGAGGCCCTGTTAATATGTGAGTTCAGCCTTATGTGATCAAGCATGTAAGAACAAGTTCTGAGTCAGTCACACCGCACTACAGTACTAGGTGCCACTGATACTACTCAGCTGATGGTAGTGGTGCATAGTGGACTCTTTATAATTTGTGTTAAGGTTTACTGTTGCACATTAGTGTTGAGTACAGTACTGTAAATCTATACACTACATACAGTATTGCTAACTGGATTGTATTGTTCACCTCACACACACACAATGTACAGGCACATTGAGCTTACGTAAGATGAACACTGGTACTGGCATCCCCTCCAAGCACAATTGATATTTTATATACACAATACATATGTATTGCTGTACTATTTTCAATGCAAACTTACCATTAATTAAGATAATGAAATATAAATCTGTACACTACATATTGGTAACTGGAGTTTTTGGTTCATTTAAATGTGTAGTGTACAGCCACACTTGGCTTATGTGAGGTACTGTACACATGATAATAGTCCCTGTATTTATAACAAAGATAACTAAAAATTTAAATTTCTTTGTTCATTTTTATCAAAATATGTTTGGTAATTGTGTTTTTCTTTTACTGTATTTATATGTGCATTGGTGGCAAGGGGACTGGAGGCAGTAGACCTAGAGTATATTTTCTACATGTAAATTGGTACTGATTTTACTATACTGGACTGAACTGTACTTGATTTTGCATTATGCAAATTTTATTTAAACACAACCCTCATATATGAGGACTCCCAGTACAGTACTGGATAAGTTCATTCTAATGATAAATTTGGATTAGGAAGAATTGTAAATTATCTAAAATTGTCTTTAAGAATACTGTACAGCAAGAAAAGAAGACTAAAGGTACATGTTAATAAACCTAATGAAGTACTGGTATTTATGATGAAGGTTAGGTTACCTTGAATGGATGAAGGAGTCTGGGGAAGAAAGCAGCATCTAGATATTTAGGCTATGTATACCGGTAACAGTAATGAAGTTGAGAGCTGATTATTGCATAAGGAAAAAGAGTTGGAGGTGTTTTTGAAGTCTTGGTGAGTAGGAAAAACATGAGTTTGAAGTTCTACTATGTCTTTTTCCTAAAAGAGATGTTTTTAAGCAAATCTTTTGTAAGTACAGCTTCAGGATGTAAAGTAAAGAAATGAGAAAAAAATAAGAACAATCTTAGTTATGAAGTATTAAGTGACATTGTGAGAGCTGATAGTACTCAGAATGGATGGTACCAAACAGAGATAACATGAATACAGTACAGTATATGGAAGAAGTAATTAAACAATGGTTGTGGTAAAGATTTAAAGTGAAAGGTGTGGAGGCTGGAGAGGGGTACATCACAAGGTCTTAAAATATGTTTGTGGAATACTGCATACGGAAATATTAAATGTAGGTAGAAATGTATTGTTTGTCTAAAAATATACCCGAGGAACAGGAGGTAAATGGTGAAGACAGCCACACTACACAGGACATTGGCTGATTTGGTAACTGAATGCTAAGATCTTCAGGAAATTTTCAGAATACATTAAAAAAGAGTGATGAAGATTTCATTAAAAGTAAGAAAGAAAACCAAATAAACAAACAAAATTTCTCTGACCAAACAATTTAATAGAAAGTTAATAAATATGAAACATTTCCATGATGGTGGAGAACACAATTATCTTTCCATCAAAAATAGTTGAGATATGGAGAACTGATCCTGAAATAAAATTTTCAAGCTAACCTCATAACCAGGTGGACCTTTTTAATGCATATCCAGTTTTAGGGTGTTAAGGACAGTGGATCCCTTAACTGGCAGCTAGGGGCTATTCTTATGACTACCCTTTGTTCCCCAAAGCAACGCTCTCCAATAAAAGGGAGGAGTGGAAGCACAGGTTGTTCTTTAGGGGTATGTCTAAAAGTCAGCCATATCAACCAGTGCAAATACAGTTTCATACACTTCTATCATGATTTTAGAGTCAATCTGCTATTCTTAATTCTGTCTGCAGACAACTATGATGAAAAGAAACCATCTAGTAAGGTTGCCAATCACTATATTCCTGGTTGAACACAGGAAGAATATTAGGTGCCATGTCAAATTTACCGAGTTTATGTGAAAAGAACTCCAGTCAACAAACCCAATTTGAACTTATAATAGAGAATCTCTTAACTACCAGATGCAGTATGAGCTGGAAATTATGTCACTGAGCGATTCAGAATGAAACACCTGAAACAGTTCCTGAATTGTCTCCATTTCACACCAGGGAAACAACCCAAGCATGGAGGGAATACTGGGAATGTGGTCCCATCCAATCTCCATCAAGGGCCAAGGATACAAGACATTTAAGCAAGGCCAAAACCACGCCCAGGTGGAACAATAATTGTACTGCTGTCATCTGTCGGCTGGGCCCACAATTCAATGGAAAAATACAAGAAAGCTTTGAGCATTGGAAATTTGTAATGGGCTATCATCACTTTCCTTAGTCAAAAGGTATTTCCACAGTTATCGATCTGAAGAAATACACTCAATAAAGCTATCACCTACACCCTCTATTGGCTTATGAGGACATCTAGGAGACACCAAGCCATATAAGTTCCATCAGTTAAAAACATCATGGTTCAAATACCTATTTTTGGTTAAGGTGAACAGATCTGACAGTCACAATGACACTTGCCTGATCTCTCCCTCCACTTTTCATTTGTTAGGGAAGAAATTACAGTTCAACTGAAGGATCTATGCCTGACCAAACCACAAAAGTGGCAACTATGAGCACAAAAAGAGGGAACTCAAGATTACTAGTGAAAAATGTTAGACCATAATGTATTGTACTCTTAAGGTTTGGTCATGGTGGAAGACAATGAATCAGAGTGAAGAGGCATGAAATTTCTAAGAGAAAATTTGATACAAAACAAATCTATCTGTAATCTCAGGTGATATATATATATATATATATATATATATAAATGAGAAGAATGGATGCAGAGAGAATGACTTGAGTTACGAACGGATACACGGGTTTGTGCAAAGACATGGGTAAGAGGCGATGACTCAAAACAGCCCATCTCTCCAGATGAATGACGGGATATGGAACACTGGATAAAGAGAGATGGATGTAACTTTTATTCTAATACTGTATAATAAGTGATCTCTTACTGTCTATATAAAAATGCAAGTAATAGGTGCCATTAAAAATACATTGTCGGTGTAAACCAATTGACATACACAAGAGATTAAGGTGTAACAAACATTAATAATAAAAGTGAAAACACACACACAAAAAAAGGTATTTCATGAGCTATAGGTGAGTTTATATGTGGGATTGATTAAAAATGAATAAATCAAGCACTATTCTGAAGTGTAAAAGGTTATACAAACAGTGATAGTAAAGGTGTAAATACATAAAAAAGTGTTTCATAACATGAGGTTTAGATGAGTAGGTAAGCTTTGATTGTGACGATAAAACAAACACATGTCAGGGAAAAAAGTGATTCATATTATGAGTGTGTTTAGGTGGTACCAGACAGTGGATGTTATGAGGTTTTAATCCCACAAACACAGAGGGTAAAGTTAAGCTCACAGATCTGCAAGGATACATCGTAAACAGTGTACGAAAAAAGAACTGCGTGACGGACATGAGCAACACAGGTGATCTATCTTACATAAAGCCATAAAAATGTTAGCTTTGATACATCCAATAAGTTCTTTCTTGCACTTAAAATTGGGTGGCTCATGCACAGCCTTCACCAACAAAACAAAACAAAAACTAAAAACTGTGGGTAACACTTTTCCAAATTCTTACTACTACTGGTATCTCACTCTTACTAGCACACTCCTCTGCTTGGAACTTGTCTTAGGTCTGGTCATCTTCAATACAAACTTGTGGTTATTTTAGCTTCTGTTGGAAATCTTGTACAAATACAGTACTTGCACTTGTCTTAGATCTGGATTTCTACTATGTATTCAGTACTGTACATACTTTTGATTATCATATACAGTACCTGTATCTGGACTTCTCCTATATAATCTCTGGACATGTCTTTAGGTCTGGAGTTCTCTCATATGGACTTGTATGAGTTGTCTTAGGTCTGGAGTTCTCCTTTACACACACTGGACTCATCTTAGGTTTGGACTTCTAGACATACTCTGGACTGTCTTTTGGTTTGGACTACTCCAAGACATACTGCCAGCCACTCACCTCACTCAAATATATACTGTACTCTCTTAGGCATTCTTCCCTTAGCCATTCTCTCCATATGATACCAGCTGCGCCACGGCTTCTCTTATAAATAGAAGCACGGCCTGTTTGATGAGGGTTCGACCAGCGACCAAAGATATGAGCCTCCGCCACTCATCTTCCCACCCTACAGACGATCCTCTGCAATGTCACCATGACGTAAATATCCGCGTGTGATGGAGCCGGCAGATTGAGTGGCACAAGAATGGCTAAACGATCTTCCCAGATCAACTTTTTTTTCTGGTGCTCCCTCAACTCACCTCCCTTCCAGGATTTAGTCAAAAACAAACACACTCATACATTCTACCAGTTATTTTCATCATATTTTTATCTTATCTACAAGAAATTACTGTACAAATAAACTATAAATGAGTTCTGATTTGTTGACTGTTAATAAATATTTCACCATATTATACTTGCTCAACAATTTGATTTTTCTTACTTCCAAATGTTTAAAAACTTATGTGCTTTGAAAAGTAGGCTTCTCATGAATGAAACTTTTGACAAACTTAACTAACTTAATCTAAATATTGTAACATGTTGAGGCAGCAAGGAGATATAAGAAAGCTTAGAGAGAAGCAACAGAACTTAATAAAAAACTGTATTTTGTTACAAACATAAAACAAGAGGCCCATATGAGACCAACATTTCTCAGATGAAGGCTTTCACAAACAGTGTTCAAGAACACCAAATACTATAACTCACTTTCTGACTAAACTCCACCAACTTATGGCTTCGCCAGAAACTGTTATGGTAATTAGTTTGCAGACGTAGATTGGTGGCTGCTTCTTAAGTCAATCGCCAAGCCATATATAGGCAATCTTCCAGCCATTTTTACTCTTTAATATATATACAGGACTGTATACATATATGGCCATACTGTACTTATTATTACTCAGCCAATCAGCTCCCACCTCCATCAGTTTTGCACGTTTCCTGCATGTCTTGTCTTTACTTCACCAAGGTACTAACTCTTTGTAACTTATTTTTGACCCATAATGTCTGCAAAAAGTCCTGCAAGTGACCGTTCTAGTCTCTAACCCAATTTCTGCCATTATTCCTTAAGTTTGTATTTGTAGATCAACAATTCATGGGGATTTTAAAGAACATAACCCTCACTAAGCATTTACAGCACTGGTCTGTCCTACAAGTTGCTGGTTCGATTCCAGGGAATTCTCAGTCAACCCAACTGTAAAGGATAACTTTGCAGTTATAGAAATGAAGGCTTAGCATAATGTGTGATGTATCCACAATGTTCCTAACAGGCTGTCATGCCCATTTTCCAGGGTAGAATTTGGTTGTAAAATGAATTTGTGGCAGCGTAGATGGATCAATTGTTACAGACACTAGAAGCAGGCAGAACTCAGTGGACAGGTTGACTACTTTGGGGGCCATCTAAGAGACAGGTCTGTTATGTCCTTTCCTATGAAACATCCACACCAAACTTGATAATAATATTTCATATCCCAAGACAATAATGTGATACATCAACAACAGTACTTCAACCCAAAGGCTTAACTCTACTATAATGGCCACCTTGACTCTTGTGGTCAAACTAAATTTTGTCGTAAGATACAATAAAAAAAAAAGAAGCCAATGGAACTTATGAGAAAGTAATTTACTACATTGTCAGAATTTGTTGAACAGCTTAGGAAGAGACTGAAAAAACAAACAAAGGGATTCGAAGAGACAAAACACAATAACAGCAAGCAAAATTTGGGAAAATCCCACCAAACACCTACAAATTCCATAATTTGAACCAATCCTGATAACAAACTGTGCATGAACCAGTTTTTGATTCTTAAATAAATGGAAATATCCCAAACAATGGTTTATTCCAATAGGTCAATGGCTGTAAAATGTTTTTCACGAGCCACAAATGTGAACTGAATGAATCAACGGTTGCAGGCACGAAAATCAACCAAGAAGAAGACCTATTTCATACACTAAATACTGGTACCAAAATGACCCTCAACTGTTACCAATTTCATGTATGCCATGCTTTATCATGAGTCCATCACCAGAGATAGGACATTGGGCTATTTCATTAAGACAGCATCAATTCATTAATTGGTTTTTGCTTCCCTTCCCATGAAAGACTAATGTTATTACAGTATAAATTTCAGAACCTGTAATCTACACAGGTATATGTATTATTGTAAACAATTTTCACCTCTGGGTGCCTGACTACCAATTGTGGTGGTCCTGGTTTGAAACCTGGCACCCAGAGGTGAAAATTATTAAAAATTTTCCTTCATCCACTGCTACTCTCTCTTCCTCTAACTGCCATCTCAGATGTGTTATGCTAAGGTATTCCCCTATCAAAACAAGGTTCAAAGTTATGCACCTGACTTATTGCTACTGTTTCACACAACTCAATCTCACTCATCAGCTGCACACCCATCCCCTAAAACTTCCAGCTTTTTGGTCATTCACACACGGTGCTACTCCCTGTATGTCTATCTCCCTCCCTTCTAGTGCCTACCTCACCCTCTTTTCATCTCCATCTCAGACTTTCTCTCTCTCTCTTTTATAGCATTCATTTCTAAATTATAAATTTTCTTTAAAAAAATTCAATACCTATTCTCTAAGCACAACATCCTTTAAGAAAACTTCCACTGTATTACCCTAAAGATCACTTGAGCTAACTTTTGAATCAGTTCAGTTGTTCTAAGTGAGAGAAATATATAGGATCTTACTACTGATTATTATGGAGAGTAAGTAGCCACAAGCTTCTGTGTTATCAATTAAACAGTGTCATTGGTTGAATATATTTACAAATTAATTCGTGTGAATACTTTGAAGCATTATATATCACTTGCGATGATGGGCGTTTCCTATATTATACTCACACGTATCATTTCTACACAGAATTAAAAAAAAATAATAATACAGTAATAATGACTAGGAACTACACTTTTTCACATGGGCCTCAGTTTAAGGTAATCAGAACCAGATCAATGAGAAAAATAATCATAATGGTTAAAGTTCATTTATGGATAAAAATAGAAGGTCATGGAAATGAAATGTATAGTAAATCCATAGATAAGAAAAGATATCAGTACGTAGTGTAGAAAAAAACTGCCCAGGAACAAAAGTGCACCATAACCATCAAGTCTGAAACACATCTTGTATGGGTGATACACTTTGGACTGGGAAATATGTTGAGGTAAGATGAATCTATTATACAACTTAAAGAACAAAATATAAATTCAAGACAGATGTTATGGATCAAAAGTCAGAGTATAGGAGAGGAAGAATAACACTTACAAGTCATTATGATAATCTGGGCTTGTTGGTGGAGACGTGTCAGGGCCTGAACCATCTGTGGGTGGCTCTGCTGGCAATGGTCTGACTGGAGCATCTGAAGGTTTAGGAATATTAACACAATTACCATATAAACCAGGAACAAATATGTGAAGTCAATGCTGTGTAATTATATTAGTTTTCAAGAAATAAAAATTTAGTTTACTGAAGGTATTAAAAGCCATTCTACCTTGCTATCTTACTGATATATCTAGTCTATTCTCTCTCAATCATTAGAATGGAAATTATTCTTTTAACTCTTGCCAGCCACTTTCTGCATGGAGCTTGGTGTCTGGAATCAAGAACAAAACAGACTCATCATTTTCTATCAATCACTTTCTCTGACTGTTGTAACAGGTTTATTCAGCTAAAGTGCTCCTCTTCCATAATGCAGCCCCAACATTTAGATTTGAACATAAATTAATATTACATTACATTATATTACCTGAAAGTAAAATCTAACATTATCTGTGATATTTTTCCATAAGCTATAGAGGTAACCACAAGTAAGAAGCATTAGCTTAGTCTGGGGCAACATCATAGTGAATGGTCAGTAAGTGTGTATCATGGCAGGTATTGCCCCACCAACACTGTCTGGCATGAGACTGTATTCAAAGTCTCTTGGGCTGGGTGTTCAGAGTGCTTCCAGTCACTCCAGTTTTCTTACCTCCATCTTCATAATCTTCATCATTTTCTTCTGGAGCTGTATCTGATCCCTGACCATCCTCAAGCTCCTTCGCAAGCTGACTTTCAATCATGGAACGTGTGAGTGAATCTGTGCGAGGTGGAGGCTGTGGGGGCAGTTCGTCTGCCAACGATGGCTCTTCACTGCTGCTCTCTTCACATGGATCCTATATCATAATTAAATTGATATCAAATAAGAGAATCATGTTAATAAATATTTCTAACTGACAGATGGATAGAGCCCATTCAAGACTAAGGTCAGGCTGGGAACTAAAATTCCTACAGGTCTTTAACAGGATTCCTTTATCTATTATTCTTCCCTTTCTTTACTTGTTAAATTCTCACTTTAAAAATAGGGTCCCATGCATAAACAATCCCTAGAACAATTTGTTAATTTTTATTTTGGTTATATTAAATGGCAGGAATAGGCTGTAAAAATAATAACATATAACACCGGTAAGGGGAAAACAGATATCGTACAACAAAAATAAAACCAAAATCTGTTACCCTATGATGAGTGAATTACAGGACCATTATAGAATTTCACAGTTGCTTTACACTCGAAAAACTCTCCTTCGTAAAAATGTAATGTGATACCAGTTAAAGTATTGTTTATGCTTACCTTGCCATTCATTTCACTGAGCTTGTGTGCACCATAAACTATAGCCTGATATGAAAACTTCAATTGGTCGTGAGTTTGAATAAGACCCATGCGTTGCTGTCTCATGTCCAGCAAGACTTTGATCACTTTACCCGGACCAGACCCACAGAGACCCTTGGAAAGCTGAAACACAATGGGGACTTAAACATTATACTTGGTAGGTGTTGCTTGGAATGTATGTGTTGCCTGTTGCCACAAGTTGGAATTTGTGAACAATCAAAATGAGAACATGCTTGTTAAGGGGATCAAGATTTATAAATAAAGCCTATACCTGTAACAATTTACCAAAAACTAAGTGCTGTATAAGAAATCTAATAGGAATACAGTCTCTCCTCGACCTATGACGGGGTTCAGTCACGACGACCAGGTCGTAAGTTGAAAAGGCAAAAATAATACATAGAAATTCTAAAATGGGTGTCTCTTTTTCTTCTCAGCACCACGAGAACTCTCACTTTTACACTTGCCAGCCATTTTAAAGGGAATTACAAAAAAAATGTTTGTCAGTACACAGCTCGATCACTAACGTCAGGACTCGAAAATACGTAATGTGAAAAATATTATAAACGACCATGGCCGTCGTATGTCCGGGTTGTCGTAAGTCGAATATGTAGTAAGTCGAGGAGAGACTGTATAATCTGTGACAGTTACCTCAAGTTCACTAACTGTATTATTAACCAGAGTAAGGAATATTACCTATCATAACTGGAATTTGCTGATGTACAGACTTATTGGAAGATGACATTTTGATGGCAGTGGAGACATTTCAAAGGCTCCATAACACAAAGAAAAATGCTTGACAGCCCCAGCGCTGGGAACTCTTGCTCTAGACACTTGCCAGCACAACATTATACACTCACTATTACATTTACAATACCGTAGCCACCATTACCACACACTAAACACTCACCACATGGCATAGCTGCACTCATGTGATCACCACAACCAGCAGGCCACTTCACTCAATGGGCTAACCCCCAACCCACACAAAGTTACCTGACTTCACCAAGGCAAGTCTATAAACAGTATTTACTGACCTAATAACCCACATGGGCAATATAACATGAACTCACCTAAACTAAAACCTCTTCAGCCAGTGACGGCCATGTGCACTCCACATATCAGGGATCAGAGTACCTGCCCACTGGTGTCTCATCACATTTTACGTTCTATTAATGAACACTGACTCACATTGGCTGTATGCCTGTTGCTGGCTGGGAGCAACAATTGGAACTCATATTTTTGTTTTGCCATTGCACAGGGTCTAGTGATGTAACCCTTTTTGTTATGTAAAAAGCACATTTTGTAATCAATTAGTGAACAATGACTCACAGTGGCTGTATGCCTGCTGTTAGTTGAGTGCAACAATTACAGAACAGTATATAAGTTAATATGTTAATATATTTGGCATATTGGGTTTTGTAACTTTGCATGTGGTACAGCAGTTACTTGCTGTATATACTAAATTAGGTGGTACTTTATGATTTTCTCTCAGACAGACTTGTGAGGCCTGCCATTGGGATATTCATCTTTGATGAGCTGCCAGGTCTACTGAATGTAACCTGGTTGATATTCTCCATTATGATCTTCCTCCTAGGCTTGAGCTACCTCAGCATAAAACCTTGCCAATGCTCTCTATACCCAACCTCCCACTTTGCTCTGAGTTGGGTTCCTATCTTTCAACATCACATTACAAAACAATCTCATCATTCTCATTTCAGCTCACTCAATCCTACTTGTGTCATCCATTTTAACTTCCTAGGTTTCACTGTCATACAACTTAATACTTCTCATACTAGTTGCATATACCTTTTCTCTGACATGGACAAACTCTTCTCGCTGCCAATAAAGGTAACAGCCCCCTAAACTACTTCCAGACATTTCTGATGCTTGTAAATGAACTAGCTTCAGCACCACCTGAGTCATTCCCACAAACCCAAGTAGCAAAAAGTATCATCTAACTACACACTGGAGTCAACTTATGATGATTCCTTGACCTGAAACTCAGCAGTGAGACTAATTCCTCTGCCAGGATACTACTGTACACACATATCTATTTGTTAACTCTATTCATGTATTATAACAATACTTATCTAGTTGCTAATTATGTAATCATATATTGTGTAATGGTTGACACAATTGCCATTCGTGTACAGGGCGTCCTCGCTTAACGTCGGGGTTACGTTCTTGAAAACATGACGTTATGCGAAACAGCGTTAAGCGGATCGATTTTCCCCATAAGAAATATATAAAATACGGGAGTTACGTTCCCCAGCCTCCCTTTGCCCCATGAAAAAAGTTACATATACAAAAAAATCATTGCCTTTTCTATAGAAAATAGTATATAAAACTACAGTAGTAAGTTTGTATTGGTACTCACCAATGGGCGGAGGAGGTAGAGCGAGTGTGTGGTGGGTAGTGGAGCGAAGGAGGAGGATGGCAGGAGCAGAGGAGGAGGGTGGGAGCGGAGGAGGGTGGTGAGTCACTGAGACTCTGTGGCTGCCTCCTCCTCCTCCTGCTCTGACTGGGGTTCCTCTGCCGCTGCTTGCTCCTCCTCCATTGTTGTTTGCTCCTCCTCGGCTGCCGGCTGTTGTGAAGAGTTGCTTCTGCCATCCCGTGGCAGAAATTATGACGACACTTAAATCGTTGAAACCATCCTCGGCTAGCCGTAAAGGCCTCATCCTACGATCCTTCACCCTCTTCTGCCTTTAAGTTATTAAACAAAGATATGACCTTATGCTGGATAACCATAAGGCTCACAGGGGCATTGCATTGATTCTGGTCCTCCATCCACATCGCCAGCATCTTTTCCACCTTCTCTATCACAGTGCTTCTAGTACGAGTCATCTTAGTAGCACTCAGAGAAGAACCACTTCAAGCACTAACCTCAATCTTGTCAGCGTTGGTCTGAATAGTACGCACCGTTGTGGGGGTTAGACCAAGCACAGAGGCTATGTCCACAGCACGTTCCCCTTTTTCAAATTGGGTTTTAATACATCCATTTTCATAGCAAGGGTAATGGTCTTACGTTGCCTCTTCACTACACTAGCATCAGTGGCACTTGATGGGCGCTTGGAAGCCATTTCGAATGGTTAGAGTACAATTTTAGAGCAAAGGCACCTAAGCACACACGAATGATGTGAAGTCGTAACAGAGACTGGCTTGGCGTCGCTTAGGGATGCTGTGACGTTCTGCAAGTGAGGGCAGCGCGCTGAGCCGAGAGAGAGTAGCGTGGCCAGACAAGAGTGGGTGATGCGCCGTTGAAAGTACTGTAGTCCGTGACGACGCAAAATGACATAGTATCGGATCATCAGGACGTTAAACAAATTTCTGGTCTCTAAAGTTCAGCGACGTAGTACCGAAACAACGTTAAGCGGGACGACGTTAAGCGAGGACTTACTGTACTATTACTCTTGTTATGTCCACAAACACCTAAGCGCAGTGTAAGCAATATTTTCAAAAGAGCCTAGACATTTACAGTTGCTACATTACTATATACCTACTTAGTGCCATCAGAAACAATAAAAATATATGTCCAAGACTCTGTACTCATAACTGATTAAAGTAAACTAAAATAAATTGGAAGAGTAGTAGAAAACAAATGCAGAAAACAAATGGACAGGGAAAAGGCAACAATTAGAATTGTCCAAACAAACTTCCTCTTGCACATATGCAAGTTGGTGGTGTGAGCAGGCATGTGTAGGTATTTGCACATAAGTCCTAGCCTTTTCCTGTCAATTTTTTCACTTAACTTTCACAATTTTCCCACATTAAGCCCGTCCTTCCATATAAGTTTCTGTGCCACATGATCCACCCTAAGCAAAAGTGGGATGACAGAGACAACGGATAAACTGAAATATGAAAACAGTCTTGGAAAAAAGCCAAGACCTACTCACCATCATGAGGATAGAGTCCACCAAACAGAAAGTCCCTGATCGACCAATTCCTGCAGAGCAGTGAACAACAGATGGCCCAACATCTGGTTCTAGTACGCCACTAGCTCGCACAACATTTAGGAACTTGTAAAATGCTTCAGGTGACTGAGGAACACCAAAATCTGGCCACGTTGTGTAATGGAAATGTAAAATCAAGCGACTGTTTCCTGATGATGTTTCTGTTAATCTGAAATGGAGTAGACAATAGTTATAAATCAAGACTGCCAGGATGTAAATAAAAGACTATTGGAGTCACAATTCTCAACCAAGAATACTAAAGATTTGGCTGAATTCTCAACTACAACAGTAAAAAAAAAAAAAAAATCTTTAATTGAAACCCTTTATCTTAACCCTTTGGATGCGACATGCGGGTAAACCCGCCCAAAATATTATATTAATTAAATGCGACAAGCGGGGATATCCCACGGCCTTGAAAAAACTTCCCCAAATGAGACGACATGCGGAAATATTATGTATTGAGGTATAGGAGTATTTCCTGAATGCAATATAGCTTATTTTTGTACTATTTTGTTTGATATTATCTGAATATGTAATACATATCTAAATTTGCTGTTTAGTAACCAAATTGATTAAATTTATTTGCCATATACCAGACATTGATTTATACCAATTTCCTGCATTTTTGGGTATAAATGTCATTTTTTCTCTAAAATTTGCACACATATGTGAATTTTTGTTCCAGATTTGGAAAATATACTAAAAGTTCTCTAGGAAAAACATATAGAAAATGTGATTATATGAAATTCATTTTTGGCAGGATAATTGACACTTTTCAGGAACCGGCGCGAAATTTAATTACGCACCTAAAGGGTTAAAAAGCTGAAGTGCTATGAAGGCAATCTGCACAACTACAAAACAACCATCATGGAAAACTCTGTACCGTATTACATTCTTGTGGGAGTGCTGAGCTATTTCTGATTCAACCGATGTGAAGAAAACAATTTTGCTTCCTATAGCTGATGTTTCTTTTTGGGGGGGGGGGGAACTAAGGAAAATCTAGGAAATTTTCCAGCTGCTCTCTGCCATTGACACAACCTCATAAATCTCTTGGTTTTGACACAATCACACCTCTTCCTATGTACCAAAAGCTAAATATGGAAGACACACAAAAGGAAATGAGACAGCCCATTAGGACTTGGAGCAGATTAGACCAACACACAAATAAATCATAAGCATACACATTACACACAATATCACTAAGAATGATCAATAAAAAAAGGGAGATTTTTTTTTTTTTTTAACACTTCTCTTTAGTTCATATTGCTGTCACTGACCTTTTATTCATGTCTTTAACTCCGGGCATTTATAAATCATCTTCCCAACTCTAAACATTATTATGAAAAATCTAACTCAGCTACAGTGAAAAGTAAGATACTGTATACTAATAAAAAGTTTTGAAGAAATTTTCCAGTGACATTAGAAAGCAGGATAAAACAAAGTTCTGTGAGTGTCAGCTGGGGACCAAGCATGGTAGAAAATGGACCTTGAAATCAAAAAGGTGGCCTGTAGTAGTGGTGGTACAGGGTACTCACTAGGCAGCTTAACTCTAATTAAACCTTCAACCCAAAGACTCTACAGTGTCACTGCCTTTATTGCTTTTCTAAATCTAAATAAACAAACAGGTTGTGTTGACCAGGGGATTGGATTGACCAACCACCAAATATATCAGTAGCTATTCTGGAAGCGCTTAAAATAAATTGGGAACCCCGACTTCAGTAACACTGTCCCAGACCAGTCAAACACAACTACAGCTATGATACACATTCAAACACTGGCAAGTTTTCCCTGCCCTACGTTACCAGGCCAATTTTTTAATTATGAATTTATTTCAGTGGAAATATATATTCCGAGTCAAAAATATGTTCAATCCATTTTGTGCCCTCCCTGAAAGATTGATAGGTTTCCCCAGGTTAAAAACCAATGCTCTCGAGTCTGAAGGTCTAGTCTCGAAGGCAATATTTCCAACTAATTTCCGGAACTCTTCTGAGAGATGTGGTTATGATGGGTAGGGATGGGTGATTGTAAGATCAGCTTCCAGATGTCAAGCAAGGATGCAGCATGACAATCAAGCCCCTACTAATGGTTAGTACAGCACAAGGAGTCATCTGGTAATCTTACCTTAGAGTACTATAATTGTAGTGTGTGTGATGACTGACACTGAGAAGGTCCACCTTGAGGTTCACAGATGAGAACACCATAGTGTCTTCACCACCGTCACACTCACCCAAAGGCCAGTACTGGTAACATTTTAACTGCAAATGGTACAACTGTTAATGTACTAATTCTAATCCACTGAATAATCAAAGAGAGAGAGAGTGCATGTAGAAGTAATTCCTGATCTGCATTAAGTAATATTGCTCAGATGCAATGAAGCACAATCATCAATCACAAAATGTCAATTTACAAATTATTATTTCTTAATATAGGGGGAAGGAGTCTGGATTAACTGAAAGCACAGACTACTGACAAGAGGGGAGGGGATCATGCGATACTGTATAAATGAAGCGTAATAAACCTATAAAATTAAAAACATAGTAATACCACAACACTGTTAACACCTAAATATTTTAAAATCTTGTCAAACTACAATATCAGACTAACTTTAGTCAGAAGTAAAGGAAACTAAAAGGAATAAAGCAAACTGGGCACAGAGATTCATTCCTCCCCCTACCTCAGCTATTTCACCATTGATGATGCAGCTCAACAAATTAATGATAATTTTCCTACTACAGTACAGGGTATACAAAGAACACAATTAAAATTATCTCTTATACTGACCTGATTCTTCTCAATAATCTTGTTGAGCATGATGATACCTTTAACCTTCTGCTGCCATATCATCAACCAAAAGTGTGGAGTGGTATGTGATAGTGGCCCCTGGGTTAAGATGTATGAACGATTCACACACTCTACCTGTTAAGTCAAATACAGCCATCAATAACTTCAACTTCTTATCTATAATCCCTTCTCTACCTCCACAATAAAGAGATAACATGGTCGGGTGAGAAGTGCTGGACTAGTGTCAAAGGTGAAGGAAAGGGTTGAAGAAATAAATAACATCAAATATTGGGGAAATTAAATGAGGAAAGCATGAGGGGTAAAATTAAGAGACAGGTCACCCTCATTTATCCAGCCTTATAGTCATTTCTCACTCTCAGATGTAACTGAAAATGATAAATTCTTTTCCATTTACCACCAGTTCTAGTCCCCTCTCTCACTTAACCATAATCAGACCAGCTCTACTATCACTTCAAATCCTCACTCTTTTTAACAATGGTGACGCATAAATTCTTGCTCCTTAAATATGTTACCCAACTTTCTTTATAATCTCAACTCACAGCTAATTATAACATTTTTGACAATCTAAACTCAAAACAAATTATGGTATTTTTAACCTCCATAATGATTTCAACTCAAAATATTAAATCTACTGTATACTTAATTCTTTAATCTCTGCAAAACACTGAATGGCATATCTTCTCATATTTTTTTCTTTTAATATACAGTATTCTGTATTAAGAAGATGAACCACATATGCAGCTGCTGTTAAATCTGTGATACTAACCAACTCTGTCCTAAAAATCTATTTAAACAAACAGAAATTCTTCAGATCTCAATAAAAATAAAAACTTTTTTGGGGGGAAGGAAAGAAACTTTGAAGGAACATTAATGCACAAACCTTAACAAGAGAAGCATTGATATAACTAGTGTTGTGGTCCTTAAGAACTATTCTGGTGTGGTCGTAAGGAAGGACATCCCGGTACCGATTCAAGTTTCTATTGGCGGGTGTTTTGGCTTCCGTACAAGGTAAATCGTAACTTCCTTCACTTCGTATCCGCTGGAAAGGAAATCATCTTATGAGTATTACACAATAATATACTACACAGTACATGTCTAACATATTGTACGTAAAGCATTAACAACTATCATCTTAGATAAATACTACAGTATATCTGAGGACATGCTGGTCAAGGGTTATGCTGGGTGGTGAGAAGCATTGGGGGTATTGGAGCCCAGTAACTTTATACAATCCAAATAAGAGAAGCATCTATACTATCACCATTACATGATAAAATAGTTCATTCTCACACATTCTGAATAATGATACTGAAGATTTTATGTTCAGTTACAGTAAGATAATACAGTGTGGTACTGTATGGATAAACATAAACAACAATTAAAACATTAATTTACTATAAAACCTCAAATAGTTATACACAATTTAAAGTGATTGATATGTAATAAATAAGGGTATTATTTCAGTTTTGGTCATCCGAGGAATCAGTTAGGTTACATAAGGTTAGTTTGGATATTTAAATTACAGGGATGACCAAAACTAAAATTTTACCCAAATAAGTAACAGACACACGACATTATCATCATTAAACAACCACTTGGTTCAGTAGTTTGAGCTGTTCACATTGGTCTATGAGCACAATTAGGAAGCTTTGATTCACAATCTAATGTACTGTAACCACTAATATCACTATTATCAATGTGACTAATAACGACAGATTTGAATGATTATAAGGGAGGACCCTGAGTGTACACCGGCGACACCCCCATAACACAGCTCTCTGCCAGGCCACAAGGGCAGCCACCTCTGCTTCAGCACACTCGTCAACTGTTAACATTCAACCCTACTTAATACAGTACTGTACCTAACATCATTCATTTAGACCATTGGATACAAATTACTGTAATACACTATGAACAAAATTCCAATATCACACTGGAGACATACCTATTAGTCAATGCTGCCGAGCAAAATACAGCGGGAACACCCTCCCTCACACTCCATTAGCGAGGGCGGCCCTTGCTGCCTCACTCGCAGCTGCTGTGTGTCTCCTGCCACCAACACCCACACACCTCTCACCTAAACTCTGCGAACAACTTGAACCCAAACCAAAACACCAACTAAACCCTAGTGAATCACCACCAAGCCATCAAAGCCTCAGATTTATCCTGATAATCATTATCTGTATCTATTTTTCTATGGAACTGGGTATTTCCGTCCAATCACCAGACAGTTAAATGTGAGTATTATAGGTTTGTGAGTGTTAGCAACCGAAGTTAATGACATGTATGGGTAAATAATCAACTGCCTGCTCATTCTACTCTCATCAGTGGGCTGGATTAAGTTTGGGGTGCAATAAGTGTGCATGGTACAGCATCTAAAATACCCACATCCTTTTTCTATATATTTCTCTTCAGTACACATATACTGCACGGACCATGAGAGGCTGATGCATTATTAACCCGGTGAAAAATTAAGACCGCTATACTGCAGGGGTTAATGAGACACAACAACCTTTAAATTCAAACATGATGTGTCATCCGCGTAAAACTAAAAACAATACTATGGTAAGGTTTCATACTGATATATTATGGTAATGGTTGGCCCCTTTGCTTCACCAGTAGCCAGAGCATTACAACATAACGGTTACAGCATCATGTGGGTTTATAACAAAAGCCACAACTCAGCTGTTATACCTTGATAATTTATATTTCTCATAAATTCCTCCATGAGTGCAACACTACTAATTTTAAGCAAGTACCTTATTCTCTAAGTAATCACACCAGTTAATCCAAGCCTCTGTAAACCTGAGTGGTCTCTGTTAACAGTACAATAATAATAAAAAAATAAATAAAAATAATAAGAGCAATAATGACCTGCATGTTTAGAGTGGTAAAGTTTCCTCAAAGTAAAGCAGACAATTCACACCCTCCCCTTCACCAGCTAGTGTATTCATTAAACCAGTAAGCATCATAAACTTTTTAAACTGATATATTCAGTGTCCAATGTGGTATTTCTGGGGACCTGGACACTGAGTTAAGCTACAAAACAGGCAAGACGAGGCAGCCTGTAAACACACTCGGGTGGCTGGCCAGACCACTTTCCACCAGGCATTTTCCCCGATATCACTGATTTTTCCCATCGTAAAGTCATAACTGCGGTCGATACTGCACCTGGTACTCTTGATTCCATGCATCTTTGAGTTCGAATTGTCTATATTCACTTTCTATCGCCTCTATTTGGGAAGGATCCGTCATTGTGCGTCCGCCTCGCCGAGTCTCAACATCACCACAACAGTTCCTCCACCCGACGCTCTCCCTCACCCGCCTACTGCATACTCTTCTGAAAATTCCCTTACTTATGTTTATAAAATTAAAAAATAATTCTTATTGCAAGACTGTGTTTATGATAATCTTAAAATAATATTATGTTTTAAAATTTCGTCCCTAAACTGAACACATAATGTAAAAAAAAAAATGACGAAACCGTAACACAATTCAACAGTGTTCGGATTACTCGGTGGTCGCTCTTCTGTGAATCACCCCCCCCGCCTCTTCCTGGGATCACAGGCCAGGACCCCCCACCCCTCCTCCTCCCATTTACTGGGAAAGTTTTCCTTACACACACACACACACACACACACATATATATATATATATATATATATATATATATATATATATATATATATATATATATATATATATATATATATATATATATATATATATATATATTCATTTCCATTAAAAATCTTGTGCATCAATCCCTAAATCGTGCGAACATTAAAAAAAAAAATCACCCAGAAGGTATATTGTATTGTACTTTAGTGTATAATTCAGAGCTAAGAAAATGCCAAAATCAGCGCACAGAGAAAACAGTTGGCAGTGCACGTAAATTTCAAAGGGTTTTTGACACGGCACTATTTATGTATACTGCAATATCTATTGGCACTGCTACTGCTTACCTCTACTGCAAGAGGCTGTTGACACGACTATCAGGTTGAACAAAATGAATGGCTTTTGTCATAATCCTGTCATCTATGCTTAGCAACACCCAGGAATACAAAATTCAGAAACATTCTAAAAAAAACCAGAAACATTCTAAAAATTCAGAAACATTATCAACAATTTAGAAAATTTTTAAAAAATCAGAAACATTCTAAATAAATTCAGATATAATCTAAATTATTTCAGAAATATTCTAAAATATTTCAGAAATATTTTAAAATATTTCTGAAATATTCTAAAATTTTTCAGAAACATTCTAAGGAATTCAGAAACATTCTATATAATTCAGAAATATTCTAAATTATTTTAAAAACATTCTTAAATAATTCAGAAACATTCTAAATAAATTCAGAAATATTCTAAATTATTTCAGAAGCATTCTTAAATAATTCAGAAATATTCTACAAATTTTCAGAAACATTTACAAAAATTGAAACATTCTAAAAAATTCAGAAACATTCTAAATTTTTTTTAGAAACATTCTAAAATATTTCAGAAACATTCTAAAATATTTCAGAAACATTGTAAAATATTTCAGAAATTCTAAAAATCAGAAACACCCTAAAAAGATTCAGAAACATTAAAAATAAATTCGGATATATCAAAAAAAATCAGAAACATTCTAAATATTTTAGAAATATTCTAAACTTTTCAGAAACATTCTAAAAAAATCAGAAACATTCTAAATAAATTAAATATTCAAAAAATGTCAGAAAAACACTAAATAAATATTCTAAATTATTTCAGAAATATTCTAAAAACATTCTGAAAAATTTAGAAATATTCTTAAAAAATCAGAAACATTTAAATAAATTCAGAAATATTCTAAAATTTTTCAGAAACATTCTAAAAAAAATCAGAAACATTCTAAAAAATCAGAAACATTCTAAATACATTCAGAAATATTCAAAATTATTTCCAAAACATTCTTAAATATTTCAGAAATATTAAAAAAAAATGTCCTTAACAATCTCACGACCTCTTTTTCATCTTTGTATTAACTTTCCCTTTTTCCTCCAGTTTTCAACTCAACTCATTAATACCAGGTTGATTTTGTTTTGTCCAGGAACCCTAAATAATTCCCATACACTAAAAATTATATAGGTTAGGAACCTAATATTTTTTGTAAATGTAGCCTAATGTTACAGAAAGATGCGACATGATTCACACAATTGATTACCTTAAGGGGTTATATCTAGGGTACAAAGTTAACGTGGTATGGTTTTATGAAACGTGCGTGTGTGTTGTGGTTTGTTTACATTTGCGTGTTGTGGTTTGTGTATATGTTGTGGTTTGTGTGTGTTGTGATTTGTGGTTTTATATTGTAGTGGATTTCTCCCCTACAAACGCTGTTTGTCACTGCGTAGCCGACCCCACGAATTCCATAGTGTGTGCCTCGTGGTCTAGGTCAACCAGAGCCGCCATACATCACGGAGCGGGGGTCAACTACTAAGCCACGCCTACCCCCCGCTATTTAAGACCTGACCTCGTGGTGACCTCTCTTTCTACCTACACCAACAAGCCAGCAACACCTCCTCCTCCGCCTGCCTGGCGGTCCTCGCTCCCGCCGGCGAGCATGGCGACCCGCAAGCTGTCCTCCTCTGAGCACCCTCACCAACCAGCTCTCTCTACATCACGCTTGTAACCATGCTGCCTTCCCAGCACCAAGCTGCATTGTACATCCAATACAACATGTATACATGAGAGCACATTGTGAGTTTCCTTTCTCCATCCCATCCTGAGTGTGAACCAAACATCCCAAAAACGCCACAATATCCTTTTTGCTACATATCAGCTTACTAGCCATTTTGGCGCTCTATCTAGTGTTAGTACAGAAGGAAACTGGGGACTGGAAAACCTGTGATGTTTGTTAGGGTCACACTGAATAACACCCTTCACATGTGTGTCTGTGCCGAGGCTCGAACCCTTGTCATACTGTATTGAGCGAGAGTTACATTCATTACATTTATGTGTACTGTGGTTTGTTTACATTTGTGTGTGTGTGTGTGTGTGTGTTAGTGTTGTACAGGTCTAAGCAACATATGTGTGTGAGGCAGGTGTGTACAAGTGGAGGGAACGTGTGTGTGTGATAGGTGTGTACAGATGCCGTCCTCACCTCAGCCAATCAGCGGCACCTTTCTTACTACGACCTCCGTTCCTGAGTAGTCAGGATTGTATAAATACCCCACTGCCTCACTGGGAAGGCCATTCTACCTCACGCTATCCAGCCGGCAACACCACCTCTCCTGAAGCTCCTCCACAACACAGCAACTCCCCAGCATACTACTGCATTGTTTGTACAATGTATGTGGAGTTAACGCTATACAGTATATGTACTGTGTATATATATATAGCATGATTAAATTTGTTATTTCATATATTTTGCTATTTTTAATGCATAAACTTTGTTAAGAATTCCTTAATAATGCAGACAATTCATTATTTTCTTAACATATTGGCTATGAACACACAACAGGATTTTGGAAGAAAAGAAGGTCTGAACATTATTTTAATATAAATGTGAGTATATATTATTATCATTACAGTATACAGTATTTGTATATGAATAAATGCAGTCATACTCTTGTCGTGCAGTATTTGCCTAACCTGTAGAGCAGGTTTTCACATCAGTAAATACTGCATAGCTACCTTGTGACTAATCAGTAAATACTGCATAGCTACCATGTGACTAATGAAAATAATATTGAATACCAAAATACAGGCTCTGTATACAGTTGTAAACTCGACAGATGTCTCATTTGTTTTATGGACTTATCTTGCCAGATTTCAAGAAATGGATTGCATTATTAACTTTAACAAACAAGCACAGGTAAAGCTCTGCTGCTGTATGTTACAAATAGCTGAAGAAAGAGTTCAGAGATTGAGAGGGAAATAGTATGTGGATTAAGGAAGTATTTGTACAAGGGTGGTCACTATACTATAAAGGAGGTACAATATGTACATCAGTATGAGCTCTTTCAAGGCTAGTCTTGACCAACACCAGAGCAGGTTCCGATAAATTCAGGAGCCAGTTCATGCCCAGTACTTGCCAACAGTGCATAACAGAGACGTGACCAACTGCCCAAGCGGCTAACGAGTTGATAAGTGGTGAAGAGGTTAAAAGTAAAAAGTACCAGATGAAAGGTTGGTTTAAAACACCTTTATTTTCTTGTACTGTACTGTATATTTCCTTATTCATTATTTCCCATCAACCAAGTCTACAACACCACTTTGATCTATTTTGGAACATCAGTTTGAACATATCATACTTTCAAACTAAGAAAGTAAAAACATTGTTAACATAAGTAATGCTTTGATGGAGAATCCACGAGTAACAACTAGAAACCCTAATCCAGCCAGGGCAATATACAGTCCTTGATGACGGACACGTTGTGGTGCCAGTCTGTGTGATACACTCCAGCAACTTCATAGATCTTAATTTTTCCAGCTTTGTCAAGGGTACGCAAGCCAAATAAATCTTTTTGATAGAACACTTGGTCTCGCATCTCTGTCACATTTTCGTCCTTATCAAAATATCCAAAATGGCTGTAAAAAAAAAAAGAAAAGAAAATGAATTAATAAGTCATCTTATAGCTCTTACATAGCCAAGTTATAGAATACCTCAAAGATACAAATAATTTCACCATTTGTAGAAAAAAAGATACTAAAACCATGCAAATTAGAGCTAGTTAAACCTATATACAGTAGATAGATAGGTAGGTTATACACAAATATTTGAGAAAGGTGTGTCAGGTGAAAAAAGTCATAAGAAAGTAGCACTGATGAAAATCTGTTAATGATGGGACAGCTATTCTTACATGCATTCAATAATGATACCATCATCATATTCGAGTGTTGTAACTATGGCCCTCCACTCTAGATATACCCACAGTACAGTAATTGGACTGTCTCTCTTGGGGACCCATTTATTAATTACATTCTTCCAATGAATTTGTTCCCTTCCTTTGGTCCCCCTACTCTAAATTTTACCCATTATAATCTCTACCATCATCCCCCTATCCTTAACCATATGGCCAAAGAGTTTAAATTTCTCTATTCTATAAATATCCAGCATTTTTCTCATTGCTTTAACTTAATCTTAGCTTCACAGTACATTATTTGTTTTCTATCATTATAATCAATCTTTACCATTTTCTTATAGTGGCACATTTCAAAAACTTTTTGCCTATTTCTGGAGATACAGTCATGGTACAGTATATGTTTGTTGCTGCAGCTGCCACCACCCTTCAACCATTTGCATGCCAAACATCTACACCACCACCATTCTACTATACCACTAGCACATAGCTCTACAGACCTCATGTAATGCTTTAAGAATCTGAGCAACATCACCTGGTCTCCCCTCATGCCACCACCAGGGCAAAGCTAAACACACCCTGTGACTGCCCTGCACACTCCTTCATCAATCAGTAATAAGACCACCTTTCAACCCAATTCCCTTAATATTGTATACAGTATATTATAATTTATTTACATACCGTATGTTGCCTCAAGCTGGCAGCATGACCATTGCTGGATAGGATTGATGCTTAGTAATGGATTTTTTATTTTTCTTTGCACTCTACAAGGTCTTGTGGTGTAACCCACTTTATTACAAAGGTATTATGTTAATCCCTTGCAAGAATTGTGTTTTACGTGAGGTATTCCTTTATGTAACTTTAGGCATGGTAGAATACAGTACAGGAACTACCACAGACCAATTTGGACTATAATTTCTATTTCCACACTGCAAGCTTCACTATACAATGCATGAAGTAGAGTTATGGGCAAAAACTGTACTGTACTAGTCATCCTTCTTTCTATGTAATTTCACAATAATGTACAGGCAATGTATAAAAGGTGATTCCCAATAATGAAATTTGTCAAGAGCTCATCTCACAGCACATGTCACATAGTCTGCTTGAAACACTCTTAAGGTTCCACACGCATTAAAAGACAAGATCATGTGCTACAAGGAACTTCACACTCAGAAAATCAGATGTTCAAAGCAGCCATCTTGGGTTGAAATGTTCACCACTGCAATCCAGATGAAGATTGAGGAAGAAAATGGATGAGAACAGGTTGAGGGAGACAACCTATTTATCCCCCCAGTAACCCACACCACCACCACCCCTCACTTCAACAGTACCCAATACTTTATTTAGAGATTACAGATGTCTCTGGCGAGTACAGACATACAATATTGAAATTTTATACTTGACTTATTTTATGATCACATTATTCACCAATATGTCTGAAAGATGCCGAACTTAAGACAAAAAGTGAAAAGAATAATGCTCAGAAGCAGAGAGGGTCAGGTAGCAACAAGAACAGCCAGTGGTGAACTATAATCTACAGTACTTACAAATATTTATGTCACAGCAGCTGTTAATATTTGATATTTTAAAGCACAACAATGAAAAATAACATACAAACCTTTATTCAGTAAAATGCCAAATTTTATGAGTTGTATCAAGTGCCATAAATATTTGTAAGCAATTAAATGAGTCCACACACCTTGACGCAACTCACACCATAATAAAATCACTGCGTCACTACCCATGCTCACTTACACCAATAGGCTCAACATCTTTTACACATTTTAGTGGTTATTAATTTTCTGTACTGTACTATAAAATGATGGTGGTGAGGTGACAAGGACAGAGGAGTGACAAAGAGCTATCAATCACTTAGGAATATTTCTCAATGTTTCCCATTAAACTTAAACTTTTACATGTGATGTATGTTAAATTAAATTTTTAACAGAATGAGACAATAATATTATTTGAGGGGAATCCTCAGTGTATTTTTGACAGTACAGTACACTATTGCATGCCTGAAAACCACATTGTAAATCAAATAATAAAAATTTTATCACATTTATCCATTGACTCCCAATATAAAGTGGAAGATACATTCCTTGGGGCTAAAAAATCTCCAATACTGAATAGTATAATGATACAGCTCTGTATTTTGCAACACAACTTAAAGATTTGCATGCATAAAAATCGAAGATGCAGTGTACTGCACACATAAAAAAAGCAGTTGGTTTGACAGCTGCCACAGTAGACAGAGATACCTGTAGCACTAAAACTTTACCAATGGCCTTCATTTCTCTGCCAGCCTCAACACGTTTTATCACCTTCCAACTTGACATCTAAAGTGATGGCTTTGCAGGGCTTCTTACCACTAGAGGTATTGCTACATCTCATTTCACTTGCTGGTAGCTTTCCTGACATCTCTAAATAGGTAAATTACTATACAGTCTCACCTAAAAGTTCGTTAACTCTCCCAGCCAGTTATTGCTGCACTGCCTGCTTCAGATGTATGAACTTGAGTCTGTAACTTCAAACCTTTAGATTTATTCGTATCGGTTTCATGTTCTGGTTGGTACTGAGACAGTATCATACATCTGAAGCAGGCAGTGCAGCAATAGCTGGCTGGGAGAGTTAATGAACTTTTGGGTGAGACTGTACATGTACTGTACTTTCAAAATGAAATAAAATGCTGGAGAGTTCTGTTACAGTGTAGAGGTGGATTTGAAGATTTTATTGGCTTGTATACAACTTGGAACATATGCAACATAAACTTTATTTAGATATAATGGGTCATTACATGTGAAGAAGTAAATTATTTGCTATCATAAATTTGAAAAATTGTATATAAAGTTATCATAAATCAAGGTACACAGTATCTGTAGTTTTATATCTTGGGGTCAACTTTTTTCCAGGAAACTATCTTCAGCTATACGTATAATGGTTGTCTCAGGTTAAATAATTTTCTTTATATGTAATTTTGAGATTTGTGAAAATTTTCAGGTACAGTACAGTACTGTATTTCAGAAAAAAGAGGATAAATGATGGATTGGTCCTGAAATACTGAGATACCATCTTACAACTGAGATCCTACTTGAAGGGCTTTTTTATGCTACCAGTTAAGTCATAAAAGGTAATACCTGGAGAAATCCCCAAGAACACAGTCTATGGCTAATAAATATAGTATTCCTTCCTGCAGAATTCAGCACCCTCAAAAGGTTTCCTTGAAGATACCCATCACCATTTAAATTAGAAGAGTAGAAGTGCAAGCCATTTTGCAATACGTACATGTACAATATACTACAGTATAATCCTTACGAGGAAGGCAAGCAATGGGGTCCCCCAGTCCAATATCAGTTATAAAATGGGATTATAGGAATAATCTATCATTTAATACCTTATGACTGTTCTAGAGAACCTGTACTATATAAAGTCAGCCCAACATCAGAAATTACAAGTTCTCTGTACAACATGACATGCATCCACCTTTAGGATAAAAAACAGGCACACAACTAACCTTACATACTTCCCATGGCCACACAGGCAGGACACATAAGATCCTCATCTTGGTGAATGTTGGTCCCATGGGTCTGATGGCCCATTTGGGACAGTGTGAATTGAGCACACTGTATACTATGTCTTTGGCCAACAAGAAGGTGTGACCAGCACTGCACTCAACTGCCTTCACTTCCCTTATTGCAAAGTTAGTGACCCATTCACAGATGAGGTCAACAGCGTGAACCAGCAACCCTTAGGATAGGGGCAAGTGTTGTATCCACTCGGTTGCTGCCCCCACATCCAGGTAATGATGTACAAAAATCTAGACCAATGACAATGCAACTCTTTGTAGTATGGAATCAAAAGATATTCCTCTCAGAAAGGCCAGTGGTGACATCCTGCCTCTGATGTCATACGGTACATACTTGTGCAATTTGGTTGTGTCAGTTTAACCACTTTAGTAGTGATTTTAGAAACACTTTAAAAAACTTTATATGCTCCAACTACAGATTTGTAATTTAATATTAGAACTTTTGAAAAAAAAAATCTTGAGAGAACAAGCTTGAGCAAGTCTTAATGCTAATCGGTGAGTTAGATGAATGCGTCAATTAATCAAGGTAATGCTTACCAATCATGGATTTGTGCATTGTAAAAGGGTGGCTATCAAATTCTGCTGGCAGACTCAGTAAATGTCCAATTTCACCATGTGGTCCAATAAGTGTAACAATATAAAGATATGTCTCGTGCAAGTTTTTCTGGGCAGTAAAAAAATAAAAAAATTTCTGGTCATGAGAAACAAGACGGTGAGGTGAGAGAGAGGTGGCCTTTAACTTCAAACAAACTCAAAATATGAGCACAAGCTATCAAAAAATCTGTTCAGATCACAAATGAATACCCAGAAGCCAGACTGTCACAGTATTAGAAAATTACTATATCCATAAGGTGAAAAACCAAATGTGGCAAAACCTTCAAGAAAAGTGACCAGAGCTTAAAGACAACAGACAATGTGGCTGCACATGCCAGTTGTATTTGTCATAAAATAATCTAAGAATTTAGCTTCATACTGATGTCCAATCTCCCATACTCATCTGACTTGATTGCCTGTGATATTTTCCATTCCTCTAAGCTAAAAAAAAGCTTTGAGGCTGCCAGTTACAACACAACGAAGTTAATAACACCTTGATGGGTTGCTAAATATATTATCAAAGGATGGTTTACATAAAGTATTTTCAAGACTGGGTCAAGTGTTGGAACTAATATATTAAGAATGAGAGGATACACAGCAAACACCAGGCTCACATGGAGGTTACAGTAGGTCCTGGAAAACAATAAACAAAGTGAATCTGCTTAAAAATATACCTTAAACAGAAGGGAAGTAGGGGTTCAGGCCCTCCTTAGTTCCCATGAGTGGTTACAGGAAAGGTAGATTTTATCATCAGTTGACCAGTACACACTTAACACACAATAGATGACTGTCCCCATCACTCCAATTCTCTAGTAAAAACACTTTTATTCATGCTTTCATTTGCCTACAAAAAATAATCGTTTCATTGATACCAAACTTATTAATATAAATATAAGAAAGGAGTTGTAATGTTTCACCTCCATTTAAAAACATCACAATACTGTACACTCTCATTATAACCGACATTCAGCCGGTTAAAGGATAATCAGACTCTTCACGTTAAACTCGAACGTTATAATTTGATCAAACCTGTTGAATACAATTCATTTTAGTACTAAATCATACATGACAATCATAGCTATGTAATTAGTCTAATCTTAACACTTACAATGAGTACTTAATTTGCCATATTTTATGTTGTCACAATGATAAACGATGCAATGGACACAGTCTACCTGTGTACACAATAAGTACCAGTTAAACTTACGTGTTGAAAGTCTCAAGAGAAACCAGGTTAGGTGCTGCCTCTGTGATCTGAATAACTACAGAGGAACCAGGTTAGGTGTTGCCTCTGTGGTCTGGATAGCTACAGTGCCGATACCTTGCTGTTGCCTCCCGAAACCTCGCTCGATGGGCGAGGGCTGAGTCAGGTGATTATACACAAACAAGCTTCCCTTACTACCACCCAACACCTCACCTCCTCTGGGTCTCTCATCTTACACCATCTCAACACTCTATATACTGTATACGGGCAGACACACCCAATAAACATGACATGACTTACAGCATAACATAATGTTTGTTTATGTGTCATTCTACTCATTACTGCTTGCGGTAACACTCATAATTAGTTCTTTTAAGTTTATTCACTAGACAGTTAAGCTATACAATATCCTTTCACTGAGATCAGAATTTATGAGGATGAGTGAGCAGAGACATGACAAGTGGGAGATGGATGAATCAAGGAACACCAACTGTTGAAATTTACCTCTGATGAAAGATACTCTTCATAAAGAGTATAAGTAAAAAATCTTTCTGGGATAAATAATATGAGAGAGGAACATTACCCTGTGACTAAATAAGACTAATGATTCTGGCAACACTATGGGTACCTACATATTACGACATAATTTAGGGTACTGTACTGTAATTCTGAGTCATGCGAAAGATTACCAAATAAATGAGAACGTCCAAAGGGAAACTCTCAAACTAATGGTGGCACTCAGACACCTTACTTACCAAGAAATGAGAATGTATACAATTGCAAAAGACAATTTAATACATAGTACAGTTGTTTATAAGCACATATTTAGAGTTAATGGAAGGCCACCAAATTCAAGGTTATAGCCAAAAGTTTAAGAAGCTATCAGAACAGAAAACTGTCAGAGCTAACAGCTTTGGAGTTAGAGTTGTGAAGTCTTGGAATAATCAGACAGTGAATGTTGCAACAGATCCATGTGTGAGCTCCTCTAGGTCCAAGCTTGAGAAACATTGGAACATGTTCAGGTACATTCAAGAGCCTGTGCACACCCAATACTCACCTACAGTGTGCAACAGACAAAATAGCAAAGTTTAAAGGAATGTTCATCTAATCCAGACTATTCTTTTATCTGGACTATCTAAGGGCTGAACTTGACTGAAGGCTTTATTGTACAGTACCCAAGATTATCTTCCTCAAAATGTTCCAATATTAACCGTTTACTATTTGAGAGAATCTAAACAAAGAATTTCATGGATATAATTAGGAAATTCATTAGGCTAATATTCTTGTATTTTCTGACATTTTTCTGATACTGTTAAAGATTTATCAGCATTAAGCTATGATTTTGAATACCTAAAGTTTAGAACACAAAATTAATTAAGTAACAAATGCTAAAGACAATTGCTGATGTTATGATTCCATTTTACCAAAAAATACCATTATGCATATTACCATAACAATCATAACCAAAATGAAGATTAGAATTTGAAACTTTAAATTGAAAATAAAACATAATTCTCAAAACATAAACAGCACAGTGCTGGTAATTGAAAACTGCCTTTTCTTACCTTGATTGCCACGGGGTGATAACTCCATCATCTGGACCACCAATCAGAACAAGCTTCTTAAGTTTCATAAAATTCTTAAGGTATTCACTTTTTTGGGAACCGCTGATCTCATTGTTGAGATACGGTAAGTAATTTGAGTACCTGTAGGACAAATACTAGCGTAAGATTATAATAAAAATACCGGACATGAATTTAAATAAAAAGTAAAACAAATTTTCAGATGAATGATGAGAGATGAAAACACTTTAGGAGACAGGTGATGCAGTGATGTAGTACCTGTAATCACATATGACACATGCCAAGGGTAATGTGTCATACTGAACTCAACCACTGTACCTTGACCTTCAAGATTCAAAGTGAAGACATGGATAAAAAAAAAAAAATTCAGGGGGCGATGACGTATAGTTCTGTACAGTAAGTCCTCGTTTAACGTTGTCCCCCGATAACGTTGTTTCGTTATAACGTCGCTATTCTTTAGATACCCACGATTCAGATAACGCCCCGTCGATTCAGCATAACGTTGTCACGGACTACCTGTACTTTGTACGGAGCATCCTCCTCCTCCTCCGCTTCACTACCCACCACACACTCGCTCCACCTCCGTCCATCAGTGAGTACAATACAAAATGATTTAGTTTATTTTTATATATACAGTACAGTATACTATTTTCTATAAAAATATCGTTTAATTTCTGTATATGTAATGTATTTTATGGGGCAAAGGGAGGCTGGGGAACGTAACTCCCGTATTTTATCTATTTTCTATGGGGAAAATTGATTCTGTTAACGTCGTGGTTTTCAGGAATGGTACCACAACGTTAAGCGAGGACTTACTGTATATGTTTGTAGAGGCTAATAATTACAATAACACTGGAATGATGCACTATGAAACAAAACTTACTTATAATAGAGGTCTTGATGGTGGGGATCATTCCAGTAATTAGCTACTGATATTCTCTGGCCGACTCTTGAGTAAAACACTTCATATGCTGTCTCTTTTATGTACTGTGGGAAGATAAGTCGTAGAAAGTCATCTGTAATGAAAGTTAAATGGTAGAATATCACTTTTGAAATTGATGCAATGTTTTATCTATAGTGCTATGACTGGATCAAACCAAACATTGCTGAAACCTAAGTTTTGAAGAATACTGTTGCTTTGGCAAAATGCATGAGGTAGTAAATAGTAGTGTTAACAGTGTGAGAGAACATCATTGGTCTAAATTCACTGTGCTGCTCCACAAAACAACTTCAGAAGATCATTGATGCTCTCTACTATGTGGGAGTTTCAAATTCATATTTGAGATGTTATACACTGTACAATAAACAGTATTCATTTTTGTCAGCCAAGAGCCTTTATCTATTTTATAATAATTTTTATTTTTCATGTTTTGTTAAGTACTGTACTATATAGAGTAAGTTAATGGATAAGTTAAGGGGTTGTCTTGTCAGCTAGGAACCCATCCCCCATTTTCTCACTGATCCTTCACTTAAGGACAGTGTGTGTAGATTCACCATCTGTTGTCTCTTCCAGGAACATGACACCTAAGAGTCACTAAACCAATTTAATACAGTACTGTACTGTATAAACAAATTAGTGAGAAATTATAATAATCATAGTGCTATCTCCTGTCCAGTGTGACCCCGAGTCATTACATATATACAAAACTGTGCCGTCTTAGAATAAATATGGACTATTTTTTTACATACAGTATTTAACTGTAAAAACAAGTAAGGTTATATATGTAATGACTTGGGGTCACACTGGACAGGTGACAGCACTAGATGGGGTTGCACTGGAAAATGCTTGGGAACCCCTGGTTTAACTAATTGTACTCAACGATTCAATTGCCAACCTTCAATCACCAATGTAAGAATGAAATTTTTGACAGTATTGTACTATACGGTATTGGATAATGAGTGTGTGTGTGTGTGAGAGAGAGAAAGAGAGAGAGGAGAGAAAATATAGATAGACACAAAATACTCATTCTCTCTTATCCACTTCTTCAATTTTTTCCCCTTCTTCTTCTCTCTCCTCTTCCTTCTTCCTAATCTGAAATATCCTCCAATTTTGGTTAACTTCTTGGTGTCGTGGATACAGTAATGAGCATTCTCAGGCCGTGAATCCCTATGTACAGTACTGTATTGTGGATAAAAGTACTGTACCACTACGTATCTTCTATGTACACAAGTAAATACAATACCTGTACATAAATGTCTAACCTCCATATTGGCCAGCTTGGGGCGAAGATAAAGATATAAAGGTCGTGATATTATGATCCAAGGATTCCACTATGCCTCGGCTAATGATGCCTCCCTGGGAATACCCTGAAATAAAGAGAGGAATGCAAATATCATTAAAGAAAACCTTTTAGTTGTTTGCACTCACATCTGAACCAACACCATTTTTCTATATTGTACAGTATATATCAATTACCCAAATCCATCGCTACATAACTGCTGAAAGACAGTAGTGAAAGCATAATACTGTACAATATTGTATTGCTAAAGAGTATTGTATTTTTTCCACACTTTAAACAGTTTTCCTTGGATCATGAGTTGCCTGTCATCACAAATCTAAATACCGTAAGTGACAAAATCAAACTAAGGACACACAGCACAGTACTTGTTAAGGACATTAAGATTTTATAAACTTATCCTGTACATGAAATTTTCTACAGTAAACCCTCGATAACTTGGCACATATGGGGCTCTGGCCTTGCTAAGTTATCCCAAATTCCGGTTGTCGAGACACTTCCACCCTCCCCTCCCTCCTACAAAAATAAAAAAATAAAAAATTGTCGACCCATATATGTGTACAGTACAGGGTACATGTAATTACAAAATGTAAAAAAGTAACACTTACCAGCACTGCAGGTGAAGAATGAAGCATCATAGTAGGTGACATATTCATGGTAAGTGACACAGTGGTATGGTAGGTGACACAGAGGCATGGTAGGTGACACAGAGGCATGGTAGGTGATGCAGGTGGCCAGATATGCCGAGATTTTCCCAGATAATTTTATATATTTCGGCATTTCCAGAGTTATATTAATATTGTACATACTAATAGATAATTAATCCTCAAGTCCTGTTTTATGACTGCTTCTGGATTGGGTGACTCATGTGCATAGTAACAAATGTCTGAGGTTTGAACACCTAGGTTATCACCCTAATCATTAGTGACTGTAACTCTTCTATCAATTAGTCGTGGATTCCCAACGTAAACAAGAGACACCAGGTAAGCTTGAAGGTAACGAGTCTGACCATCATATTAGCCAGTGAACACCATCTTCTTCACCTAATTCACCTACAAGTAAGTTTTAGGTTACCACAATCAGTAGTTCCAGCCTTCCTTAGTGTTCTGTATGATGTACTGTAGAGCCTTTATTATTTAAGTAAAAGAAACTGGTTATAGTACCATTGCTTTTAAAAGACAAGACATTGTACTGTATCTCAAAAAACTTAATGAAAAATCATGTAACACTACAGAAGCCGACAAGAAACTGTGTATATCCAATCAATCACACACCTTATTTCTTTCCAAAGTAAACAATTTCATTTCATCTTCATCTCACACTCAATTGTTCAAATGGGTACTTATCAAAAAGTTTCCTACCTATGAGTATAATTCCATCCTTAGAAGCATTCATAATAGGTTTTATGTGGGAGTAGAAGCTCTTCACTTGATACCAGAGTGGTGCAAGTGACTTCCACCCATGAAGCATGTCGATAACGTGAACCTTCGTGCCCGGGTGATGCTGAAAGCAAAATTTGAAAATTAATGTTAAGCAAAAATTCCTTTTACAATGTTTACCTGATTTATGTGAAGTTCAACTACAAGTGTATATGATGTAAATGTCCTTTCTCAGTACAATGTGTCATGATAAGCCAACCCAGCTTGTTAGGGTGAAGGGCTGCCAGCATGCTATGTATACTGTACTGTATGTGACTGAGGAATCAAAATATGTTCACTCGTGTACTATACTGTATAATGAGTGGGTGGATGAGGCAGATGCCACACATTGTTCAACAGTTCCTCCCTCCAGTGTCTCGTCCCATTAGCCTCTAGGTAAGTAAGTGTTCCTTTTTCTTTTCTATTTTGTGTCTTAGTTTGTCACTTTATTTTTTTATCAGCACCAACTCTTACAGAAATCAACACGTCACTACCAGGACCAGCCAAAGCAGGCAGCTGGATTCTCTTTCTATAAGTTACAATTCAACTTTGTTTTTAAGTTACCTTCATATTTATCTTATTTACCTTTTTTGGTATTTATGCAGTTTTGGGCACTACATGGCCGACTGTTTTAACCATCCCCAACCTTTAGATCTCCTTATTTGGAGTATTTCTACCCCCATTTCAACCAGGGGGCAGAGAAAAATAACTTCTGAAATGAATTTTAACTTTTTTCCATATCTTTACAACAGTTTATGGCCGCGCATTACTTATGCGTGTGTTCTTTCGTCTGTTGTGGGCTCTGGGGCTTGCGAAATGAGGTGCCGTGTTGTGACGTAAGGTACAGTACCGATTTGGGGGTTAGGTTAGGTTAGGTTAGGTTAGGTTTAGTTAGGATTCATTACCTTTGGGGGGGGGTGGAGGGGATACACGGCCGACTGTTTTAACCATCCCCAACCTTTAGATTTTCTTATTTGGAGCATTTCTAACCCCATTTCAATGAGGGGCAAGGAATAACAACTTTGGAAATTAATTTTAAAGTTTTTTGTTAACTTGCGGGGAGGGGGTAACTCTAAAACGGGTACTTTTCCCCGGGAAATAAAGGTGGAATTCGATTAAATCACACCAATATACACAGGATAAACTAATTTCTAAACTACTAGGGAATTTTGGCCGAAACTGAATTTTACCCCTGGTTTACTTCACATCAATATACTTACAACTTAGGTTTAGTTAGAGTTGCATTAGGGTGGTTAATCTTTAGGTGAAATAAGCTGGGATGGAGATTCTTGAGGTGGTCCCTTGTATCTAGTCCTTCATAACTCTAGTATGGTTCCCTGCACCTATGGAAACATCTCAACAAATGGTAAGTGTCCATAACAATTAATATTTACAGGGCTAATAAACTGGATCACCTGAAGATTAATCCTCCCTATCTTATTTCACCTTAAGAGAACCATCGTAATGTTAACCTAACCTAACCTAACCTAACCTAACCTAACCTAACTAAATTTAAATTGACCTAGTCCTACCTCTCTGGTAATATTAAGGTGTTAAAATTTTAAATTAAATTTAACTGGGGATAATCTTCAGGTGATCCAATCTCACTCACTCACTCACTCACACACACACACACACACACACACACACACAACTCAAATTTATTACATACATCAGCTACTTTTAATGCTTTGTTTAAAGTATCCGGTGATTTACTTAAAAGTTAAAACAGAAGAGATCAATAGGCTTGGTACTCTTACTGCAACACTCCTTATTGTACTTACTTCTTCAATATGATCAGCCAAGAAATTTAAACTGAATCTCAAGTCCCACACCCCATGGACAATAACCACTGGCTTGTAGGCTGTACATGACAACACACTGAAGAAGGTGAGCACCAATATAAACGACACTTTCATTATTATCAACAGTAACATATAACACCACCAGCCCCTAGTGGTGCCGGCCCCTCACTGTGTGGTGCACCAGCTGACTGTCAGTGGCCAGGTGCCAGGTGTGGTATTTCCGTCAGTGCGTGCGGGTTAATGACCTCTACAAGCAATTTTTTACACACACACTCACACACATACACACACACATATGGTCTGAAGGAGTCTAAGTTTGGAAGACACACACACACACACACCCACTCACACACACACACACACCCACTCACACACACACACACACATGGTGACAGTATTGAGCTACCTTTGGACCCATCTACTGATAACATAAGGTTTATATCGGAAAGTTGTTACATTAGGACAACAACACAATGTTACAGTTTGTCAGATTAAACCAACAATTTGAGTTTCTAGCTGTCGAGGTGACGGATGTTGTCTCTAGTGCATCTCTTATTTTATTTATTGTATCAGAATTATACACTTGGCTCATCACCCTATTGTCTCCGCGAAACACAAATAATATCCTATCAGTGTTATAAGATAAGAAAACAAGTGACATCATCGCAATATTTAGTCAGTTTTTGAAACAGACGCAAACCTAACCTAACCTAATGCTTTCAAGGTAGTTTTGGTTAGTTTGTGTCGAAATAATGCTTTAAAAGTGATGTGCATGATACCATTTTTAACCACAAACATTTTACTAAAGAATAACACAAGAAAACTTTCACTTCACAAAGCCGTCAGTTAATCAGTGAATGAGTTTCGTTTTCTATCTTAACAAAATAACAGAAAACGACAGAAGACTTTAGTAACACACACTAAAGCATATGGAACATTCTCCGGATTTTTTTTTTACCTCGCTTTATTCTTTCTATCTCTCTGATTCTGTTGTAATTTCCATGTAACCTAATATTTGAAGTTTGGTTTGCTTTTGTAATTTACTGTTTCATGGAACTATAAATTCTACATGACAAAAAATTACTGGATTATTAAGGTTGTTCGCTGTAATGTACTTTTATTGCTATTGTCATTATCACAATGATTGAAGACCCACATTTACAAAGGAGGTGATTAGAGGATTAAGTATCTTAGATTCCTGTGGTATAATAAACTAGAATTTAGTTTTCTGTAAATATATTCAACAATGAACGCGTCTCTTCCAGCTGAATTATCTAAAGTCTATAGTTTTGGGAACATATAAATTATGGTCTCCTTCTCTTTCATTTTAGGTAAAAATAAAATAAATTATGGAGTTATTCAGATGATTCTTACTTGCTAATATAAGGAGTCGGGACGCCTACAAAACATTTGCAGAAATTTTTATATTTTATCGTAAAAGAAAGAACTTCTAAAGATTAATACCATAAAATGTTATATTAATTTATACAAAATAGATGCTTGTGTTTATTTAAATTTTGTTACCCACATGCTATTTTAGGAATTCATATACAACAGCATAAAATGTAGAAGAGTTTCAAGTGTTTCTGTGAGTCGTTGTGGAGCTATATGGATCTACAGGTCTTGTGTGTACCAAAGGAGAAAAGGTGCCTATTGTTTGTGAAGGAAAACTGAATCAAAGTTATTCTTCCAGTTTGACGACAGGGGCGTGGGCGAAGGGGAAAGGGAGGGCACCGTAGGTGATGGGGGGGACGGCACCATAAGTGATGGGGTACTGGTAGGGGAGGACTGCGGGGGAGACGGCAGTGTAGGTAATGGGTTTGTAGTTGGCGACGGGCTGCACGTACTTGATGGCGGGGACGTTGATCTCGTGCTCCTTGGTGGTGAGCTCGATCTTGGTGGTGTCAGCTGGAGTAGCAGCTTCAATAGCCTCGAACTGCTTGGTCTCCACGGTGGTCTTGGCCACTGTAGGTACGGCGTGGATGTACGGCAGGGGAACTGACACCACACTACGGCGACGACGAGCAGACTCTACGGCCTCCTCGGCCTTGACCTCCTCGAAGATATGGGGGAACTCGGTGGCCTTGAGGGTAGTAGTGTCAGCCTTCACTGCGTAGCCAAAGGGGTGAGTGTAAGGGGTAGCAAAGGGGTAGTGGGCATAGGGGGTAACAAAGGGGTGGTGGGCATATGGGCTAGCAAAGGGGTAGTTGGCATAGGGGGTAGCAAGGGGGTGACCGAAGGGGTTGATGTAAGGGCTAGCCAGAGCCACAGGCTTAACGTCTCCCTCGACAGCAGGGGTCGTGATCAGCTTCGCGGATTGCAGCGCCCAGGGATTCGCGTATGGTAACACCAGCTGCGCTGAGCAACACGACACCGCGACCAGAATCACCTGCAGGAGGAAGAAAACATTAACACAAAGAATCAGAGAACACAGGGGTGTGGGGCGAAGCGGCCACTCAACTCAAAACTTATATCCTATAATAGTCGACCTTCCTGCATCTTCATAAACATATATTATATAAGTTACTAGGGAATAAATAATCGTTGTAATAACTTCAATATTTTATGCTAGTGGCTGATGTTACAAGTGCTGGACATATCACTACACTATCCAGAGGATGTCACTAATTATATATTAATCAAACGTCAACTTTTGTTACAACACTGTGTGGAGATATTTTGTCAGCCTCACCAGAGCCCTCATGATGCTACGAGTATCAAAGTCCTTCTGCTGCACCATTAAGATCATTCCCTATATATACCACAGGCACTGTGACGTCAGTAGGTTGTGTAACGTCATCAGGCCCCGCCTACATCGTCATGACCTTGTGGCGGGACAGCCGGAGTCCTCAGGTTATCACAAATTCACAGTGACACTCAAATCAATTGCCTCTGTATTACTCCGGTCACTTCAGGCACTGCAATACAATTGACCTTTAGTGTCGTGTGATTCAGAAACTTAAACAAGTGATAAATTACATTACTTTTGTTTGTTGTTTAATTATTCATTAATACTTTTACTTGTGAAAGATGAAAAGCTCTAACTCACTCTGATCTACACCTAAGACTGGACAGTACTAATCCCTGGATACGAACCTGAATCTTCATACTGTGACTTAGGTTTGGTGAGGATAAGTTAAACTTCGTTAGGTGTAGGTCACGTCAGGTTAGGTTTCAATATATATATATATATATATATATATATATATATATATATATATATATATATATATATATATATATATATATATATATATATATATATATATATATATATATATATATATATATATATATATATATATATATATATATATATATATACAATAAATTCGTCACACAAGACTCACGTTGAGTATGGACATGGTGCAGTTATACAATGCGTACATACAGAGTGATGGTATATCTAGTATGCAAATAATGGTAAACAGAGCACTGTTCGACCAACGAAACCATCATAGGGTTACTTCCAGCAGGTTCAGGATATTGGATAATTATCAATAAAAGTATGTGTGAGGATAAGACAGATCACCAGGGATGTGTGTGTGTGTGTGTGCTGTACAGTCACCACATTTACGTTCCTGGGACTGTGTAAAGCTACTTCACCCACCAGGACCCGAAGTCTAAGGGATCCGTACGTTATTTTTGTTCATATGATCTTTTCGCTACAGATTACACGACCATAGGTATTTTCTCGCCATTTTCTCCTTCATGTTTATGCAGATTATGTAAGTTGTGGAGTCTTCCTGGCCATTGTCTCCTCCCGTGTTATCCCAGCACCCACACCCTGGTCAATGACGGGACGCAAACCTTGACCACACCCTAACTGCCCCATTCTCTGTGCCAGGGTCAGAAGAAGAAGAAGAAGAAGAAGAAGAAGAACAACAACAAGAACAAGAACAAGAACAAGAACAAGAAAACGAGGAGAAGGAGGAGGAGGCCCTGTTTCATCCCACTCCTTTCCTACAGTATCTTGTCAAGACACCATGCCCACCCTGCCTCCTCACCACCACACCCTCCTCACCACCACGCCCTCACCACCACGCCCTCCTCACCACCACGCCTCCTCACCACCACCCTCCTCACCACCACGCCTCCCTCACCACCACGCCCTCCCTCACCACCCTCCTCACCACCACGCCTTCTCACCACCACCTCCCCACCACCCTCCTCACCACCACGCCCCTCCTCACCACCACACCCCTCACCACCACGCCTCCCCACCACCCCGCCTCACCACCACACCCCCTCACCACCACCCCCTCCCCACCACCACCCCCACCACCGCCCTCCCCACCACCACGCCCTCCCCACACCACCACGCCCTCCTCACCACCACACGCCCTCACCACCACGCCTCCTCACCACCACCACGCCTCCTCTCCACCACGCCCTCCTCACCACCTCGCCTCCTCACCACCACGCCCTCCTCACCACCACGCCCCCTCACCACCACGCCCTCCCTCACCACCACGCCTCCCCACACCCCGCCTCCCCACCACCACGCCTCCCCACCACCCACCCCCCCACCACCACGCCCACCACCACGCCTCACCACCACGCCTCCTCACCACCACGCCCTCCTCACCACCACGCCTCCACCACCACGCCCTCACCACCACGCCTCACCACCACGCCCTCCTCACCACCACGCCCCCCACCACACCACTCCTCACCACCACGCCTTACCACCCGCCTTCCTCACCACCACGCCCTCCTCACCACCACGCCCCCTTCACCACCACGCCCTCCCCACCACCACGCCCTCCCCACCACCCCGCCTCCCCACCACCACACGCCCCCACCACCACACCCCCCTCACCACCACGCCTTCCTCACCACCACGCCTCCTCACCACCACGCCTCTCCCCACCACCACGCCCTCACCACCACGCCCCCCCACCACCACGCCCTCCCCACCACCACCCCACCACCACGCCCCCTCACCACCACGCCCCCACCACCACGCCCTCCTCACCACCACGCCCCCCTCACCACCACGCCTCACCACCACACCTCACCACCACGCCTCCTCACCACCACGCCCCACCACCACGCCCTCCTCACCACCACGCCTTCCCCACCACCCCCCCTCCCCACCACCACGCCTCCCACCACCACGCCCCCTCACCACCACGCCTCACCACCACGCCCCTCACCACCCGCCTCCACCACCCGCTCCTCACCACCACCCTCCCCACCACCACGCCCTCCTCACCACCACGCCTCACCACTCCCCCTCACCACCACCCTCCCACCACACCCTCACCACCACGCCCCACCACCGCCTCACCACCACGCCCTCCTCACCACCACACCCTCCTCACCACCACGCCTCCCACCACCACGCCTCACCACCACCCTCCCTCACCACCACGCCCCCCACCACCCCGCCTCCTCACCACCACGCCCCTCCCCACCACCCCACGCCCCCCACCACCACGCCCTCCCCACCACCACGCCTCCCCACCACCCCCTCCTCACCACCACGCCCTCTCACCACCACACCCCCACCACCACGCCTCCTCACCACCCACGCCTCCCCACCACGCCTCCCCACCACCACGCCCCCTCACCACCACGCCCCCCACCACCACGCCCTCCCACCACCACACGCCTCCTCACCACCACGCCTCCTCACCACCCACGCCCCCTCACCACCACGCCCCTCACCACCACGCCTCCACCACCTCGCCTCCCACCACCACGCCCCTCCTCACCACCACGCCCCCTTCACCACCACGCCCTCCTCACCACCACGCCTTCCCCTCCCACCACCACCCCTCCCACCACACCCCCCACCACCACCCTCCCACCACCACGCCTTCCTCACCACCACGCCTTCCTCACCACCACGCCCTCCTCACCACCACGCCCCCACCACCACGCCTCCTCACCACCACGCCTTCACCACCACGCCCTCCTCACCACCACGCCCCCCTCACCACCACGCCCTCCTCACCACCACGCCTTCCTCACCACCCCCCCTCCCTCCACCACCACGCCTTCCTCACCACCACACCCCTCACCACCACGCCTCACCACCACCCTCTCACCACCACGCCTTCCTCACCACCTCGCCTTCTCACACCACCCCTCCTCACCACCACGCCTTTCTTACTACCTTGGTTGCCCTATAAACATGCCCACACCATCACCACGCCCTCCTCACCACTATCCATCCCGTCACACCACTACGCTTTCTCCTACACGACCTTGTTCACACACACACACACAAACACACACACACACACACACACACACACACACACACACACACACACACACACAAATCATTGCAAACAGGAATTCTCACCCCTAACCCAACCTTACGCTAACCCACCAACCTAACCTAACCTAACACAAAATACCCCCCTCGCCACCACAGGTAGCATTAGGGTATTAACCATTAGGTGAAATAAGCTGGGGGACTAATCTTCACGTGATCCTGTCAGTCCTAACAAAAAACAACCATAATCCAACTTAACTCTCATTATTATGTCTCTTAAACATTGGGGCCCATTAGGACAGAGGCCATTTACAACAGGGGCCCATAATATTTAAGGATTATTGGTGAGATTAAATTTTAAGAACCGAACTCATCTACATTATTTAATAAACATATTTGCTGCATTGACTCGAGCATTGGAGAGAGAGAGAGAGAAAAGAGAGAGAGAGAGAGAGAGAGAGAGAGAGAGAGAGAGATTCAATGCCGTTTTATATATATTTTTTCTTCCAAACTACATTGCTTAAATAAAATATGATAATGTTAAATTCAAGTTGAAGATAACACAGTAGTTGACCATAATGTTTATTTTGATTTCCATCTGAAAAATTAAGTGTTAACCTTTTTTTTTTTGTCAATATTTTAGCAACTTTAAGCATCTAGACACAGTTTGCTACCGAAGTTAAATTTATAGTGTGGTTAAAATAAATGTGTCATTGTAACCAAATTTACAATATATTTAGTGGTTAATGTTTTCAAAGTTCAGAAAATAGTAATTATCCATTTCCTGTGGCTGAGTTTTAGGAGGTTGAAGAAAATCAAGTTTTTATTTCAAAATTGTTTATTTTATTTTTATATGAATACACACAACAAGAACCACGTCACACGAGGAGACTCAACGCTCCCCGAGAGTCAGGTTCTAACAATGATCATCACTCCGTGGGGAAGTGGTCGAATTCGTTTTTTTACATTTGCCATAAAGCGGATGAAATTATTTCACTGAATTTTGTAATTTTTATACTTCTTTTTCAGGGACCTGTTATTAACATTTTACTTTCAGTAGAACATTTGTCTGCAGCGTAAACAGTTGTGATGACGTCACCAGACTATTCTTGATATATAGAGAACATCAGGTGCTCTGTATACACCAACACTTGCCTGGGCGGCAGGACGTCCTTGGCTGCCACACTGTGTGTGTCACGTGTGGTCATCATAACCGTGTACGCCCAAGACTGTATTTTTTTTATGGATCAGGAGGGAGTCGTTATTCTTCCAGTTTGGTGACAGGGCGTGCGAAGGAAGGAGGGCACCGTAGGTGATGGGGGGACGGCACCATAAGTGATGGGGTACTGGTAGGGGAGGACTGCGGGGAGACGGCAGTGTAGGTGATGGGTTTGTAGTTGGCGACGGGCTGATGCACTTGATGGCGGGACGTTGATCTCGTGCTCCTTGGTGGTGAGCTCGATCTTGGTGGTGTCAGCTGGAGTAGCAGCTCAA